GGCTTAAACAATTCTCCTGCCTCAGCCTGACTAGCTGGGACTACAGGCGCCCGCCACCACGCCCGACATTTTTTTTTTTTTTTTTTTTTTTTTTTGTAGTTTTGGTAGAGGCAGGGTTTTGCCAAGTCGGCCAGGCTGGTCTCGAACTCCTGACCTCAGGTGATCCGCCCACCTTGGCCTCCGAAAGTGCTGGGAATACAGGCGTGGGCCCGCGCCTGGCCTCAAAATTCTACTTCTTAACAAATTTCGATTTTTTAGTATTAAAAATGTTCGGGCCAAGCACCGTTGCTCACGTCTGTAATCCCAGTACTTTGGGAGGCCCAGGCGGGGGGATCACCTGAGGTCGGAAGATGGAAACTATCCTGGCTAACAGAGCGAAACCCTGTCTCTACTAAAAATACAAAAAATTAGCCAGGCGTGGTGGCACACGCCTGTAATCCCAGCTACTTGGGAGGCTGAGGCAGAATTGCCTGAACCCAGGAGGCGGAGGCTGCAGTGAGCGGAGATCACGCCATTGTACTCCAGCCTGGGCAACAAGCGCAAAACTCCATCTCAAAAAAAAAAAAGAAAAAATTTTTCTGGGCCAGGCACAGTGATTCACGCCTCTAATCCCTGCACTTTGGGAGGCCGAGGTGGACCGATCACGAGGTCAGGAGATCTAGACCATCCTGGCTAACACAATGAAACCTCATCTCATTTAAAAATACAAAAAATTAGCCAGGCATGGTGGCACGCGCCTGTAATCCCAGCTAATCGGGAGGTTGAGGCAGGAGAATCGCTTGATTCTGAAAGGCGGAGGTTGCAGCGAGCTGAGATCATGCCACTGCGCTCCAGCCTGGGTGATAGAGCAAGACTCTGTATCAAAAAAACAACAAAAAAATGTTCTTAGTGACCAGAATATGATCTAATGATGAAAAAAGAGGGATGAAAAATTTGTTGACCTAGATCCCATAATAGGCACGGCACTTAATCTTTTCAGTTTTATTTTGGGAAAACAATGATATCCATGTTACACGTTTGCTGTTGAGATTAGATTATATAAATTTAAGATATTTAGAAAACCATCTGACACAGAATAAATACCACTGAATTTTAGGTATGATTATCTCTTCAATCTTTGCAATTTTTCCTTGAAGAGTAAAATATTCCATTGGGTAGAATACAGGATAGTTAGCTATCTTGCCTTATTTTTAACCTCTTTGATCTGTCATAAGCTGAAAGAGGTTTTTGCCTCTCTTAATAGTTTTCAATAACCAAGGTAGCAGCTGCTTTTCTATTTGGCTACATAAAAAGATGACTTTTATCCTCTTGTCTAATTTTGCTATTTATCATTGTGTGATATCTATTTTCATACCATTATGGGTACAAGTTCCACTTTGATATAAATAAAGGTGCTCTTATTTGCCTTTTAATTGCTTTTGCCAAAAATATTTTTCCCATTTCTTTGCTTTCCTTCCTTCATCTCTTAGATTTTTTTTTTTTTTTTTTTTTTTTTT